TCTAGGTAAAGGTTTGTTCTTTTGGCCTTACTTATGTTTTCTGACTCATTGGAAAAGACCCTGATGCTGGGAGGGATTGGGGGCAGGAGGAGAAGGGGACGACAGAGGATGAGATGGCTGGATGGCATCACCCACTCAATGGGCATGAGTTTGAGTAAACTCCGGGAGTTGGTGATGGACAGGGAGGCCTGGTGTGCTGCGATTCATGGGGTCGCAAAGAGTCGGAAACGACTGAGCGACTGAACTGAACTGATGTTTTCCATGACTTTTTGTTTCCTGAGTCCTCTCTCACATCTATTAACTGGCCCTGACTCCCTCAACAGAAGCTTCCAGCTAAAGCGGGGGAAGGGACCACTTTCTGAGGGGTGACTGTATTACCCAGTAACCTTGCCCTGGACGGCCGCTGTGACTGGTGCCAGCTCAGGGCGTGGCGCATTGCTGTAGTTGTTTGATGAAGGCATGGCACTAGGATGGGTATGAAGCTGAAGACTCCTCGGCCGGACTCACTGAAGTGATACACGTGGATCAGCAGGAATGGAACGTGGACTCAGAGGGGACAGCCCTGAGTGCGCGGGCCAGCAGGACCAAGAGGTGTCAAACCCAGGAACCAGCCACAGGAAACAGCCCCACAGTGCTGTGTAGACTTTGCCCTGTAACTCTCCCCCGCCTGCCCTGCCCCGCCCCATTTGACTAGCACAGGCTGCGTAGAAGAGAACTCAGTGGGAGCACCCAGAAGGGAAGTAGGATGGAAAGAGCACCAGAGAGAGAGGTTGGCCACAGAGACATTAATAGGACCGCCAGGTCAATTGACTATCTCCCAATGGGCAGGTATATGCCAGGTTGGGGGAGGAATGAATGGCACTCTTAAGCCCAGGGCAGTTAAAAGAGCAGAACTACACCTTCTGCTGTATGATGCAAGGCAATGTAAAAGCAAGGATTTTCTGAGCTTCTGCATTTATGGTCTCTCCCTCAGGCAAGGGAAGGAAGGGGGGCCCTATCCTATCAGGGTTTGCTTGGAATCCAGCAGGTTCCTGGTGAGGGAGGGTCCAGGTGAGTGGTTGGCCATGTGCCTGCAGGAACGTGTTCATTGAGACATTTAATATTCCCCTGGGAACAGCTGCAGGGAGTTTCCCAAGAGTCTGTGGGTAACCAGATAGCCCTGGCCAGCCCCAGGATGAGGAAACTGATCCCCAGGAGTGGACAGGATGGGAATGGCCAGGCTGGAGGGCAGGAAGGCCTGCCTCCCTCCCTGGATGCTGGCTGCTGTGGCCAAAACCACAGACGTAAGAGACCGTGAGGCCTTTCTGACAAGGACTTTTACAACTTCTCTGCAGAGGACAGGAATTCTGGAACTCAGGAGACCTGTATATAAAGTCGTCATCAGGGCCCTGTGGACAGTGTCATGATGCTGGTTGATCACCATCCCTCAACAAGTGCAGTTACATGTCTGCTGAGGGCCCACTGTTGAGACGTTTCTAACTCCTGCGTGATCTAACATCAAACATCATACCCTTGCCTCCCTGGCTCCTGGCTGCGCAGATGCTCAGGCCTTCTTTGTCATCCCAGAGGAGCTCTCAGGCCTCCCCCTTCCTATGTCCCTGGTACTTCCCCATGGGTGAGAGGCCTGGAAAGCTTTTCCCACCTCCAGCCACACCAGCAAAGTGTGAAGAGCAGAGAGCAAATCAGTGTAGAGCTGTGGGCAAGGGCTCCAGGTACCACAAGGCACACGACACATTCGGATCTCCCTGGCATGGCAAGTGGGATGGTGGGAGGGATGAGTATGATTGTCCATAAACTCCTAGGCCAGGTTAAACAGAAGGATGGCTTGGGCTGGTCCAGGGGAAACATGGAGGCTGAATAGGCAGCTGGCACCACAGCCCACCCAGGGCATGGGCCGTTTCTCCATAAGCAGCCCCTGGGATGGGGTGAGAAGTTAAAGAACAACATCTACAGGTGAAGTGGGAGGGCTGATCTCCTGGCCGGTACTGGGACTGGAGGGGACACACACTGTCAACTGGCTACTGTGGCAGTTGGAGGTGGCATGGAGGGATGACACCTGTGGGCTCCTTAATCCTTCCCTGCTCTGCTTTGTTGGAGAGAACCTCATTTCTCAGGCCCCCCTACCTCTGGCTTCTAGGTAGGTTTGGCCACTGCGAGACACCTGAGAAATACAGGAGATCAGAGCGGGGAGTGGTGGGTATTCGGACCCTGTGTTCTGCTCACCGTGGCATCTCTGCCGGCAGCCATGTCCCCACTGAGGCTCCGGCTCCCCTGCCCCGCAATGAGCCCCCTCGCCCTGGGGCACCCTGGGGGGCAGCTCCAGCCCCTGGAATCCCTGCTGTCCTCCCAGCCTCAGATGCGGTACCCCACTGTTGCTAATCCCTGGATGCCTCAGATAGGTTTCCACTATCTGTCACCAGTCCCTATGTTGTTTGGAAAATCTAGATCAGCATCTTTCCCATTTAATGTATAGGTGGATCACCTGATTGAGTAGGTCTGGAGCATTTCTAACAAGCTCCAGGTGACCCTGATATGCTTGGTCCTTGGACCACACTTTGAGAATCGAGGACCAGGGAGGCTTTTACATTACTGAAACAAAATGCACTCTGCTGGGTATTAGGTCACAACAGTGAAACAAACAGACCTGTTTGCAGTCTAGAGAGGGAGACAGACACAATCAGATGAAATAAACAACACCACTGGTAAGTGTCTCAAGAGATGGACAGGAGCTGTGACCAATTGGATTCCCAGGATGCCTTCTTTGACACCTTGAAGAGGTGGTGTTTGAGCTGAGACCCAGAGAAGGGGCAGAGGAAAGTTCCAGAGCAGCATGTGAGCAGGGGCTGGATGACTGCAGGACTGTGTGTAGTCTGTGGTCTGAGAGGCCAGCCCAGTCAGAGTGCAGGGACGGTGGGTGGGCCCAGAGGCTCAGGTCACCAGGCACCAAGCTGGCTCCTCCTCATCTGGAGGAGAATCTGCACCTGAACCTGACCGCCTCCCATGATCAGAACTCCCCTTCCCCCAAGATCTGAATCTAACTTACAGTAAGGTCTCCAGGTGCTGGCAGCTGGCGATCTCAGACGCTTCCCTGCTCGGCTGGCAGCCACACCCAGACTGCCTGGCGCCTGAGCTTGGCTGCTCGTTCTTGAAGCAAGGTTGTTGTGGAGATTGCGTTCAAAAGGGACAGTAGCAGGGGAGGCGGGTCTTTGCCTGGGCACACAGGCCTCTGTGAGGACGGCCTGACCTGTGCACACAAATACTGTGTGGGGGATGGCACACCTCTTCTTGCTGACTCTTGGTGGTTTAGTTTCCCCAATAAAACCCACTTCTTATCCCTATACACTGGGTGACGTTTGTAGTATTTTCCTCACCACCTTGCCACATTCAGTCTTTATCTATGACTTTAGAGCAACGGAAGCCATCGAAGGGTTAAACATAGGATTATCTGATGGAATCTGTGTTTCCAAACACCTTTTGGGTTGCAGCAGGAAGAATGGGTTGTAAGAAGATGGGCAGGAGAAAGGGGGAGACCTTGGAGAGGAGCTGTGTATGTGCATCTGTTCTGTTGTCGACTCAGGGGACCCCAGGCCCATAGAAGCACCAAGAGTCAGTGGATGTTGCTGAGCCCTGAGTTCAGCTTCAGCTCTGGGAGAGGAAGAATGTTAGGTCAGTCTCTGAGGGCATGTGCACTAACCAGAGTGGCAACTGGTGGGACTGGTCCTCAAAGACCCCCACCCTGTTTGACCCTGCACTGAGCTTCTTCCTCCAGCCTCCCCCATCATCATGGTGAACCTGTAATGAGGGGCCTCGGGAGGACACGCATCTAAACCTTGAGCTGGCACCTGTTGGTAGGCATCGCCTGCCCTGGCCACCCGAATCTGGGGCTCTCAGAGAACTGATTGTAAAGACCTGTGGGTGAGGAAGAGGACATGGCATCTCCCTCCACTCCAGCGCTCCTCAAATCTTGGCACTGTGCCTCAGGACGCAGTGACCGCAGGGGACATTCCTGGAAGCTGTGCAGATGCCCTGGAAGCAGAGCGCGCAGCCCCCACCCGCTCCACTTCCAGGGCTCTCACTGTTCCTACTGTGAGTGTGGCCCTCTGCCTCTGACCCTCACTCACTTCAGGCCGGGCCTGCAGGCCTGGGGAAGCTCCCAGATTTCTACCAGCTTGGTGGGGGTTTTGTTACTTTTCCCCTATTTACACTTCAATAAAACAGTTTGGGATCAAAAAGCAACCAACAAAAATTGCCTTATGATCTGATCTTCCCCACCCCCCAGTTGTGTCATATTCTGGCACATCCTCTTAGCTTCTGCGTCTGTGACCTCAGGTGACCAGCCTTGGGCCTGTACAGGATGGCTGTGAAGGGGTGATGGGTAATGTGGGTGGACACGAGAGTAGGGTGCCCTGTGCAAAGGCTGACTATAGGCTCCACAGACAACCCTGGGTTGGGGGTCTCAGGGGTGGCAGAAGCTGTAGTTGATGAGCTTGGAGAAAGAGAAATTTGACCAGAGGGAAGGACGAAGCCCAAGAGCCAGAGCCTAGCGATCTCCTCTGTAATATACACATACACACACATTCACATAGAACATACTGTCTCAAACTCCCTGCACACACACACACACACACACACACACACTTGCACACATTCACACATGCATACTGCCATCTTCAGGGACCTGTGCCTGAGGGAGCCGAGGCGCCGAGTGACGGCATGTGCACGCCCAGCTCCGCTACTTAAAGGTGGGGACGGACCCTGTGACTGTGAGTTGCCATAACTGTGACACGCTCTCCTTTGTGCTTCACTGGACGCAGAGCAGCCATCAGCCCCAAGAACAGCTCCAGGCTGGGTCTGTGCTGGACACGGGAGCAGACAGCCGGCAGACCAGGAAAGGGTGCTGAAGATGGGGGAAAGTTGGGAGGCTGGGCACAGCTAACATCCTGAGCTCCTGCTGCCCTTGACGTCTCTGTGCGCTTGAGAAAGGACCAGCCCACCTCAGGATGAACCCTCCTTCAGGGCCAAGAGCCCCGCTGGGCCCGGTGCAGGAATCCAGCTGCCTGGCCACCCCAGCCTCCTCCAGCAGGTGGGACAGCTCCCGGAGCAGCGCCTCCAGCCTGAGCCACCCTCCGTCCATCAGCCCCACGGTAAGCCTGGGGCGAGTGTGTGCATGCAAAACCTCCCTCCCCTCCCCTGGTGCCCTTCCTAGGGACAACAGGGGCTTTGACAGGGAGATAGAAAGGCCTGAGCTCTGCTCTGGGATGGTGGGCATGTTATTGAACCTCTCCGAACCTGTCCTATACAAAAAGACCAATAAAGGACACTGTGGCGAGTTTTCCTTCACCATGGAGAGCATCTGAGGAACAGAAAGGCCAGCCTTCTGGGACAAAGGGCTGGAATGGCCCATCCATTTCTTTCTGGAGGTGGTAGGATGCCCCCAGAGCCTTCCTGAGAGGAAGGCATACTCTGGGCCTCAGGATTTGTCCCAGTCCAGAGTGAGGTGTTTGGTGCCTTCTCCTGCCTCCATCCTCCTAGCCAGGCCCAGGGCCATCTCCCAACATCCCCACTGCTACCTGGGGAGTGATAAGCCTGCCCTCAGGGCTGTGGGATGCTGGCCTAGTTCTAGACAGGAAGGGGAGGCTCCAGTAGCTATAGGAGCCAGGGCAGGACAGAAATGAAGCTACTCCCATCCCTGGAAAGCATCTGTGATGGGAAGTTTTTAAGGCCCTTTGTTCTGGCCTCATAGGCTGATGACCTCCTTGCAATGACTTGGGAGGGCTGAATTTTCTTTTTATTTTTTAAATTTATTTTTAACCACATAGCATGCAAGATCCTAGTTCCCTGACCAAGAATTGAACCTGTGCCCCTGCAATGGAAATACGAAGTCCTTAACCATTGGACGGCCAGAGAATTCCCCATAAATTTTCTGTTTTAAAAAACATTATTTTTTAATTCAATCATTAATTTGACTATGCCTCCACACAGTGCAAGGGGACTGGAATACACTTGCTAACTGTCTCAGACGTTTGAGATGGGGCCCATACAGAGGGGAGGAACCCACCTAGGAGAGGGCTCTACCTTTTCTAGGAAACATGGAGTCACTCCAGCCATGTCCGTGCTTGCCAAACATGTGTCTGTCTGTCCTACCAGCCTCCAACAGATAATCTGAGCATACTTCTAGAAGACTTTTGCCTCTGGACCATAGGAGCTTGGGCTCAACTTTAGGGAGACCCACGTTTTCATTCCAGCTCAGCTACCTGCAAGCTGTGTGAGCAAATGGTTTTGCCACTCTGAGCCTGCCCCACTGGGGCAGTTTTTCTCTGCCCCACTGGGGACCCTAACTCTTCTTCTCAGGACTATTTGGAGGTGATGTGGTCATGGGATGCCCTTATTTCTCTGTCTCTTCACAGGCAGTCAGGGCTCAGGCTGCTGCCTGGGTCCCCTTCCCCACGGTTGATGTTCCAGACCACGCCCACTACACCCTGGGCACGGTGATCCTCCTGGTGGGACTCACGGGGATGCTGGGAAATCTGACAGTCATCTATACCTTCTGCAGGTGCCCGGTTGGCAGGGTGGGATCCTGGGCACTGAGGGCAGCCAGCCAGGAAGAGATGGGGCAGAACACAGGACTGAAATTCTGGTGCCAACTCCGCCAGGGCACTGTTGAGCCTAGCCTTCAAAGCCAGGAAAGGAGCCCAAAAGCAGTCCAGGGCAACTTGAGTGGCATATCCGATTGGGTCCCAGGTGCACCCCCTACCCCCTGTGGAGGACACACACATCTCTGCCTATTTGCTCTGCTCTCGGTTCACCTCCACCATCACCTGCCCCAGTGGGCATCTTCCCTTGACTCAGAGAGCAGCCCTGGTATAAGGATCCTGAGTCCTCCAGCCCTTCAGCAGCCAGGCCTGCCCACCACCCTTGGCTTCCTTCTCTACCTGCCCCACTCACCAGCTGAATGGCTGAGATGGGCATATGGAGGCGTGACTAACCCTTAGCTGAAATGACTTTAAGCAGATTAAAGTTGAGTCAACTTTTCTTATCTGCAAAATGGAGTTGTCACTTACTTCATGGAGTTTTTAGTTTTTATATGTGTGGTGCCCAGCAAATGAGTGAATCCTGACTGTGCCACTTACTGAGTCTTGGGACCACAAGCTGCGTCACGGGTGGGAGCTTCAGTGTGCTTACTGGAAAAGGAAGGAGGGGGGACAGACACAAAGATGGATGATTATAAGAGACAAGGTTTGTGGAAGTACCTGACCCATGGACACCATCGTCAGCTCCTCTCCCCTTCACGAGCTCCGAGGGTGAGGACTGCAAAGATGCAGGGAGAGGAGGACAAGAGAGGCCTGAGTTGCTGCCTTGAGGGGGTCTCACTTCTCTGCCCATAATGCCAGGCTCCAGAGCTGTTTAGCTGGTACTTGCTGGGCAGCAGGATGGTCTGTGGCCCAGCAGCTCATGCCTGAGTGCAAGCACACATGTATGCATGGGTATGCATGCATGTGCACATGTGTTTGAGGGAAGCTCACCAGCAGAAGCTCCTCCTGACAGCATCTGACCCCTCCCAGGAGCAGAGGCCTCAGGACTCCTGCCAACATGTTCATTATCAACCTCGCGGTCAGCGACTTCCTCATGTCCTTCACTCAGGCCCCCGTCTTCTTCGCCAGCAGCCTCTATAAGCAGTGGCTCTTTGGAGAAGCAGGTAGACACTTGGAATTCCCTTCTGCTGGGGGGAGGAGGAGGGTTGGGGCAGGGGATGTCCACAGTGGAGGGTGGCCCAGATGAGATGGTGATATGCTCTTCCTGGGCCATGGGTGGGTAGCCCCCGCTCAGACTCACAAGTTGGCAAGAGGCTTCCACGAGCCTCTGTCAGATGCAAGCAGGCAGGGTGAGAGGAACACAGGCCTGTTTTCCTTGAGAGGCCAGGGCTGGAGCTAAGTACACACTATCCACACGCCCTCCTTGCCCTCGGGTATCTGATTGGCTCCCCACCAAGGACTGAGGTCAGGGAGCTATGCCCACAGGCTGTGAATTCTATGCCTTCTGTGGGGCTCTCTTTGGCATCACCTCCATGATTACCCTGACGGCCATCGCCCTGGACCGCTACCTGGTGATCACACGCCCACTGGCCACCGTCGGGATGGTGTCCAAGAGGCGGGCAGCGCTTGTCCTGCTGGGTGTCTGGCTCTATGCCCTGGCTTGGAGTCTGCCGCCCTTCTTTGGCTGGAGTAAGTGGACTCAGGGAATCAGGGGATGGGAAGATAATTTGGGAGGGGCATGTTCAAGGGGCAGGTAGGTGGACTTGGGTTCCCAAGCTGGCAGGAGGGGCCAGGGGACTGCTGAAGCCTCAAGTAAATGGACATTCAGGGGGCATGACTAGCAGCAGGGGGAACTGAGGCTGCACCATCAGCGATCAGAGGCTAACCTGGGCTCCCATCCCCAAATACAGAAGGGAAGACCACATAGTTCCTGACTGGCAGGAAGTGACAGGTACATCTGATGCTGAGTTTGCAATACATCAGGCAAGCAAGGGTTGGGATGTGAGGCCTCAGCAGGTAAAAGGGTTAGCAGCAGGCACCTACCCTTCCAAGGCAGGACCAGGAAGCTGGCTTAAGTCTGAGAGAATAAGACCCTGGGGTTGTGGTGAGGTCTATCTTCCAAACTGGTAAGATTGGGCAGCAGTGGGCTTTACCAGCTGTCTTCTAATAGCACCAGCTTGGAAAACTCCCCTCTATGTGCCCCAGTTTCTTTGCTCTGCTGTGCAGGGCTGGGGCTGAGGCCGAGGCCGGGGCCAGTGTTTGAGAAGTTCAGACCCCACATCCAAAGCCCCTGCTGGATGAGGAACCTGGGTCAGCACTGCCCTGAAGGCTGAGCACCCTGCCCCTGGTTCCCAGGTGCCTACGTGCCCGAAGGTCTGCTGACTTCTTGCTCCTGGGACTACGTGAGCTTCACACCGTCGGTCCGCGCCTACACCATGTTGCTCTTCTGTTTTGTGTTCTTCCTCCCCTTGCTTGTCATCATTTACTGCTACATCTTCATCTTCAAGGCCATCCGAGAGACGGGCCAGTAAGAGCTGGGCACAAAGGAGGGGTTTGATGGGAGGAGGACTGTGCCCCTTCACCAGGGCTTCCTGTGGCTCAGTCTGTATCCAGCCCCCCAGGGCACTCCCAGACTCAGATGGGCAAAGACCAGCTCAGTACATGTGCTTATGGGGTGGGTTCCCTGCAGACTGGTGCAAACTCAGTGCTTTGAAAAGTCTCAAGAGATAGGGTCTTCTGAAGAGAGGGCTTCAGACTTGGCCAAGGGGTCTGGGGGAAAGAGAAAATGCCACAGGTAGAAGCACAGGGAGGCAGCTTAGCCTGGATATAATGGGGGACTTTCCGGGTGTCAGGGGTGCCTGAATGGAAAGGATGGCCAGGTCCAAGAAGGCTCCCTGATAGTAGTCGTGGCCCTGGCACTCACTGCAAGCTGAGTGGGGTCAAACCCAGACTCTGCACACTTTCTAGAGCTCTCCAGACTTTCGGGGCTTGCGAGGGTGGCAGTGAGTGTCCCCGGCAGCGGCAGCGGCTACAGAATGAGTGGAAAATGGCCAAGATTGAGTTGCTGGTCATCCTTCTCTTTGTGCTCTCCTGGGCCCCCTACTCCACGGTCGCCCTGATGGGTTTTGCTGGGTGAGCAGTGGCTGAGGGACTGGGACGGGGGCTGGGAGGGTGGGAGAAGAGTAAAGGGACACTGGGGCAGCCTCCCCTTCCCCAGTCCAAACCCAAGCCAGCCATCCTCACACTTTAGGTCCAGCCTCGTAGCCTTATTCTCCCTGCTACTGTGAGATGACCGCACTGGAGCTGGACCTGCCTCATTCCTGGAGGCACTAGGGGACATGGGGGAGTTCTGGGCCACAGTGGGTTTGGCCTGAGGGCCTACAAGGGCTGTCAGGTCCTTCCAGACCCCTGGAGAACATGCAGCTCTCCCAGAGTTTCTGGTTTCTTGTGGCTAATGTCTGGAGACTTTAACACCTGCAACAGCGTGGATACTGGCCAGACTTCATGAGCACTGTGAGACAGTGAGAACTATGAATCCTTTCAGCTATTTGGGTATGAGACCTTTTCTGTGCAGGAGTGCCCTGTTCCCCTGTTGGGCCCTCCTATGCAATAACTCCCAAAGAGCCAGGGGAGCAGCAGGCATCAGGGTTTGATGGGGTGTGGAGAGGGCTGGTCAGAGGGCCAGAGTCTTTGAGGGTGGGGGGTTTACTGCCAGCAGCACAGTCTCCAAGGAATTGTGGGACCTGGTGAGACCCGACCCCCCACTCTGGCACATCTTCTCAGCACCCCTCCCTCAACTGCTCCCTGGGTTCCCATGCACCTCAGATCAGAATTCTCCTTGGCATCAGTGCATCTCTTGGGAATGACTTAGTTATGCCGCTTTGGACCATGCTGGGCTGTGCCCTGGCAAGGCTTGGTTGGCCTAAGAAGAAGAAGGTGCTTGAGAGGATGGGTGGGTGGTGGAGTCTCCAGGGAGGGTCAGCTGGCAGAGGAACCTCAGCTTCTCTGTCCTAGGTACGCACATATCCTGACGCCCTACATGAACTCGGTGCCAGCTGTCATTGCCAAGGCCTCTGCCATCTACAACCCCATCATTTACGCCATCACCCACCCCAAATACAGGTGGGACCTCCACCAGGACACAGGACCAGATCCCCTGGCCCACCCTCATGGGCATGGAGGGCCTGGGCCTATAAATGGGGGCAGAGGCTAGCCATCTTTCCTGTCCTTTGTATCTGTATTGGGTGGGAACTCTAGCAGCTGAGAACAGCTCATGACCCTGAGTGGGATCTGGATCTGGTATGACCCCTTCTGCTGCCCCAGTTTCCTAGGGGGCTCAGCTTGGGGGGACATCAGAGCTCTCTGGGCAGTGTCCAGTACTAACTGGGATTTTCAGAACTGAGGCCAAGAGGCAACCAGGATGGCTGATCAGCAGGGCTGCCTGCTGCAAAGAGAGGCCTCCAGACAGTGTCAGCCTGGAGAGATCGCAGCAGCGAGAGCTCTGTTCTGCTTCAAGGGCCATGGTAGTGGCCTGGGACTGGTTCTGACCCGGAGCACTCTCTGCTGATAGAATCCCCGCAGGGCTGGCCTCTTCCACGAGGGGGCCTTCAGTGCTTCCTTTTGCCTGGTGGTGTCAGTAACTCAGCGGCCCTGTGGAGGCCAGCTGCAGGCCTTAGCCCATAAGCTCAGAAGCAGCTCAGGAGTGTTCTTGGTCCCCATTCGCAGAGTTATGGCTTGGGCCAGCCACTTGAGGGCTAAAACCAAGCATCTGGCTGAACCTGACACCCTAAGGCTCTGCGTCCATGTCCATGGACCCAGCATCTGTCTGTCCATCTTCATAACCCCAATGTCTGAATGTCCCCAACTCCCCAGTGGCCCTTGGCCCACTTCCATTTGCCCAGTGTCAGCCTGTCCATTCACCCCATCTCCTCGAATCTGTCTGTCCATCCCCCTAACCTGATGTGCTGTCCTTCCAGACTGGCCATCGCCCAGCACCTGCCCTGTCTGGGCGTGCTGCTGGGCGTGTCGGGCCAGCGCACTGGCCTGTACACCAGCTACCGCTCCACCCACCGCTCCACGCTGAGCAGCCAGGCCTCGGACCTCAGCTGGATCTCCGGACGGAGGCGCCAGGCATCCCTGGGCTCTGAGAGCGAGGTGGTAAGGAGGCTGGGCCCTCACTGGCTGGCATCTCACCATCTTTCCTCAATTAGTCCAGCCTCAGGCCTCCAGGCAGGCCTGCCTCTGAGACCCAGGAACCCTCAGGAACCTGGGACACTGGCAGGAGGAGCCCCTCACCACCTCCACATGGCCTTCGCACATACAATCCTCCCTGCCAGGCAGGGGCACTAGAGTCTGGGAGGCAACGTGTTGGCCCAAGGTCACTCAGCAGCAGGGCCAGGACTGAGCACAGGTCTTCCCACTCCAGGCCAACTCGTTCCCCTGCCAGCACTATCCCTGGGCCTTAGAGTCTCAGACTGGAAAGACGAGCATTTCTTCCCTAGATGGGCTTCTAGACAGACAGGTAGGTGTGAGCTCAAGCCCATCATCCTCATTGTTAAGCCCACTCCTCCTTGAGGAGGGAGACTTGAGGAGCTCAGAGGGTAGAGTGGAAGGAGCACCGGCCCTGGAGCCAGGGTACCTGTTTCAAGTCTTACTGTGTGAGCTTATGCAGGTTACTCTCTGAGACTCTGTGTCCTCTCCAAAACAGAAAACCATCATCTCTACATACTAGATAGGGTACCCATGAATGACCCCACCACGCTGTGGTCAGCCATAGGAGCTACCAGTCTGCCAGCACCTATTCGGGGCCTGGAACTGTGATGCCCCCTGAGGTCCTCAAGAGAGTTCCCTGTGCCAGCTCCTCCATCATTGTGCCTACAGGGCCCACTGGGAGCCTCACCAGGAGCTTCTGCTGACCTCCTCCCACTGCCCCCATCCCTGCGGGTCTCAGTAGAAGGGGCTGAGGGAGGAGCTGTCAAAATCCCTGAACTACTGTAGTGCACATCAAGGAGTGAATCTTATCCATTAAGAGAGGCCTAGAACCTCATGAAGACATACTCATCCCATGTGTTAAGAAATGACAAAAGCATGTACACACACACACACACACACACATCCTAGCACATGCACTCACAGTTTGCAAGGGTTTGGTGACCAGCAGCCCTGCAAACAGTGTCATGGTCTTCACCCCAATGAATATTGTAGGGAGAATGGAGAAAGGCCTGGCCAGGAAGGGGGCAGAAGCAATGCTGCAAATGCCCCCCTCACCTCACCGCTACTCTCCCCCTTCCCCAGGGCTGGACAGACACAGAAGCAACAGCTGCTTGGGGGGCTGGCCAGCAAGTGAGCGGATGGTCCCCCTGCAGTCAGGGCCTGGAGGATGTGGAAGCCAAGGCCCTTCCCAGGCCCCAGGGAAGGGACCCAGAGGCTCCCGGGAAGGTAATTGGGTCTGACACCTGCCAATCTGTGAAAAGGTGGGACAGGAGCAAGTACCCCGGGGAGCTGTCAGGAAAGGGGGGCAGGCCCAATGACCTCTGGGAATCACCCCCTCCCTGCACCTCCCAGCTTTCCCTTGCCCACCTGGGGGTCTTGGGGGGAACCTCTGTGACTCCAAGATGTTCTGAGCAAGCCTGAGTGTGACTGCACCTAACAGCGTGTGTGTTTGCATGACCTTGTCTGTGCACGTACATAGCAGGTGGTGGTGGCTATATTATGATGAATGTATATAGCATGTATGTGAATGTGTGTGACCATGTGCCCGGCACATGCTTTCTGTCCTTCTGACATCACAAGGCACGGGTTTGAGTGCTGCACTAATGTGTCTGCTCTAAGCTGAGAATGTGACCAAGTGTGAGTGGCATGTACCTCTCTGCGATTGGAAACTGGATGTACCTGAGGGGGGGGGGGGGGGGGCGGGGCTGCAAGCTGTGTATGTGCTCGCTATGAATGCCCTGAGATTAGGATGTTGCCCAGAATACTTGTGGCTATTAAAAGAAGGCCAGCTGTCAGCCCAAGTGCCTATGGAACGGAATGTCGATGGTGATTAGAGAAGGCCGAATTCTGGAACGCTGGAAATGCCGTGTGCATAGGCCCCACGGCTGCTCTGCCCCCTCAGCTGACAGCTCCCCCCCGCCCCTCCACTCCCACACACACAACAGCCCCAGTTCCTCTAGGCTCTCTAGGGCAGCAAGACTAGGACCAGAGGCACTTTCCTGCCTTCCTTCCTCAAGGCTGCTCCCCTGCCTGTCCCAGAGAGGGGGAGCCCTGGGCTGCTCCCTACAGTTGGGGGGCTTCTATCTCTTCCAACCTTGCCATGCCAGGGAATACCACTCCCCAGCGGCTCCAGCCCCAAAGAGGACTCACTCCCCAGCCCTGAGGCCGGGCATTGTGCATGACCACAGAGGCTGGGGCAAAGGCTGGCAGCATCCCCCAGGCTGACCGGGCAAGGATGAAAGGCACTGTACCTCTCCTGGAGGGAAAACTGGCCTGGGGTGGGGCACGGGGCAGAGAGGGACAGCACATCAGCAGTCACCTAACACGCGTGATAAGCACTGCCATCGAGGTATCAGCACACAAGGTGCTGAAAGCAGAGGCAAGTCCCTGAGGGATCCTGGGAAAGGTGAAGGTAAACCAGGATTGCCAGGCGGGATGGGGCCAAGGAGCAGGGGTCTGGTGGTCCAGGCTGAGGAAACAGCCTGTACAAATGCAGTGGGGCACAGGGTGTCCTGAACTGACAGACACAGAATGTCTCTCTGTGACCCTAGGAGCCGCCAAGGGACTCTAGGAGCTGGAGGTGAGGATGGAGAAGGGGCAGGAGGTGGTAGGAGCTATGGGGAGGCCCAACCAGGTGCTGGTGTGAGGGGTCTCCAGTCAGGACCCTGGAGGATAGGAAGCCCTTGGAGGATTTATTGGGGCACTGAGGTGGGCTTGGTCAGCTTGGCAGAGTAGACTGGGCCCCTCCACAGTAGCTGCGGAAGGACAGGTTGCGTGGAATGAGCCAGCAGAGAGAAGATAGGAGGAAGTCGGTAGATAGGCAAAAAATGAGGCATCTAAGACGACAGGGAGAGAGGAGACACCCAAGCCTGGGAAAGTGGAGAATTGGATGGTGGGGGTGAGGAGAGCTCAGTCTGGACCCCAGGAGTCCAAGAGTCTAGGACAGGCCAGCCTGGGGGACCGCCTGGAGGCAACCTCGGCCATTACCAGCTCCATTTTACAGCCACATGGCCAGGAAAAGGCCCAACCCCCAGCCGGGACAAAACCTGCCACCACCACCCCCCACCCCCCGCTCCCACGGAACCTCCCTTCATCATGAGGTGCCCCTAAACACAGAGGGTCCCTGAGCCACCACTCCCAGTGGGACACTCTTTGGGCTAAACTGATGTCTGCTGCTTGCTTTCAGGCCAAGGGGCTGCTCCCCAACCTGGACCCCAGGATGTAGGGTGACCATCATTCCTGCCTTCCTTCTGGGACACGTCCAACTCCTTCACGTCTCCCTCACACACACAGACCCAGCATTACCCATGGGCTTGCAGGCTTTGGAAGCGGCCGTGTCACCCATGCTGGTCTAGATTCACGGCCCTGTACCGCGAAACTCCTGCTCTGCAATGTGGTCCGCACCCACTTCTCAACCCAACAGCCTGCACCTCAGGCTCAGACGGAAGAGTGGGCGCCCAGGCCCGCCCACTGCCTGGAGTCGTCCGCCTCTCCTCAGATGCTGTGTGCTGTGATTGTCCAGGCGATGACAATCGCGATGGCTCTGTCAGACACCCCAGCTATTTATGAGCTGCCTCTGCACCTGGGCTGGGCATTTCACTGGCACAGAAAGGATAGCACTGTGTCTCCCGCGGCCGGCAGTCAAAGCCGAATACAGACCTTCACTCGCTGGAAACTGTTACTCACCTCTGGCTTTCCCCCCAGAGTACTGTTTCCACCATGGCCCACCCTCTTGTGCACATGTTCATTTTCCAGCACACACTCCTGTGTGGACATATTTGCATGCACCTCAAGCACACATGTACACACACCGCGCCTACAGTTTGTTTTAAATCAGTAGTCTAAGTTCATCCCAGGGCTGTGTGCGCCTAGAGGGATGTAGAAAAATAAAAAGCAGAGAAGGTCTCTGACAAGCACAGTCTCTACCTATTGGTGCCACCATGGGAGAGAGAGACCCAAGGGCCTGGCCTCTGAAGCCCACAGCAGCCTCTGTCTTCCTACTCTCCTTTTGTCCTCCACCTTGTGATTTTCACACCTAAAACTCAATCCCAAACTGCAGGGAGGCGAGTGGAGGAGGGGAAAGACCAGGCTTGCCCCTATCCCTACTCCCCAGTGAGCTGCTGCTATTGGAAAGCAGCTCACGCCCAGCTTGTGAGTACCAGCTGCTCTCTGGCTGGCTTCAGATCTCCCAGGGGAGGCAGATGGAGGGAGGCTGGCCTTCCCCTTTAAGAGCATCCTTTTCCTTACGCCTCCCTTTCCCCAGAGGCGGCATGGCGGGTGCCTGAGTCCAGAGAAAGAGCCTGCAACTCCAGGTACAGCCTAGCTCGGGGCTCCCTCTCCTTGTGCGGGTTCGGCTCCTTCCTTCCCCCAGACTGGTCATGCCCTGCTGCTGGATCCTCTCTGGTCTGACCAGACAGATGCACCTCCCCCAACTCAGGGAAGGAGATAAAGCTGGAATCAGGGATGGATGGGATGGGACCTGGGGGAGGGGTAGGGGATGGGACGGGGGGAGGTTGGAGGGCTGGCCATGAGCTGCTGGGCTCCTGGGCCAGGCCTGGGCAGGGAGGACAGCTGGGCAGCATGACACGGAGCAGAAGAGGTGGTGAAATGGGGGAAAGAACACAGGTCCCTCACAGGCTTCTTCCACTTGATATTTCTGTGACCTTGGGCAAGTTACCAAATGCCCCTGTGAAGTGGGGACTCCTTCTTGCCATTCATGTTGTATGTGCTAGGCCCAGAGTGTGAGGTTGGGTGCTGGCAGCTGGGAAATTACCCACACCCAGTCCTCCTCTGAGTCCTCAGGGCCCAGCTCAGGCTAGAGCTCTCCAGGAGGGCAGAGATCAGCCAGCCCAGTTGCCTTCTCTGAGCTTTGGTTTCCAGAGCAGGGAACTGGGGGGGCCTTCCTTGATCTACCTCCAGACTATGTTGAGCCTGAGGTCTCTTCTGAGAAAGGGCCTCTACAGGTATCTTGGCTCAAAGACCACACTGGCCGGAGGCCTGAGGGGTCTAGGCCCCCACCTAGAACACACTGTCTCTGGGTTATGCGCTGACCACATCACACACATTTTCCCCTTCCTGCCCTTTCTGGCCCCTTGTCCCAGCAGCTGAGCAAATGGCCTCTCCTCCCCTCCTCCCTGGCCCCTGCCATTCTGGCGCAAAGGGCACGGGGGCCTGGCGTGCGACACTGGCAGCTGGCGCTTTCCACACTGCTGTCAAGTTTTCCAGAGCACAAATGAGACAGGAGAGCCAAGAATAACTGTTGGGCCCCCAGAGGGTCTGGAGGGTGTGGGACCTGTCCCAGACCTGCTTCCAGACCCCGTGCTAAGGGGACCTTTCAGCAGGCAGGGCCTCCCCAATTCCAGGCTCGAGCATCAAGAGGTACTGCCACTACTGGGCAGAACCTGTTATCTGGCACAAATCCCCATAGGGATGAGCTCAGGCTCCAGTCTGGCCTGGGTCTACCTGTGTGACCTTGGGGAAGTTAGCTAACCTCTCTCTGAGTCTTGGATCCTGGGGGACAAGTGGCAGCCTCTCAGGATCTGAGAGGATAATGGTGTGGTGGGCCCAGAGCTGAGATAGGCTGTGCCCAGAGCTGCTGCTATTACTATTACTGTTCTGATGGGGTTGGACAATTCTGGGCCCTGAAGTTTTCATTCCTCTTGGGGATAAGAGGATAAGCGGGCAACTTCAGGGTCTTCTCCAGGGATCACAGGGCTGCAAACACCCAAGTCACAAAGCCCTTGGCCAAGGGAGCTTAGCCATGGTCTTCTGGGCAAGAGTGTGAGTACAGCAGGCAGAGAGTATAGCTGGGCAGACCAGGCTCTCTAGAGGGCAGAGGAGCAAGGAGAGGAGAGCAGGGAGGCAGAGCATTATCACTAACCGCCCAGGCCCCTCTCCTGCCCCCTGGGGGGTACTGGGAGCTGGACAACCCTCCCCAGGGGCTATATTAGCCGCGTGAGTCACGGTGGACCCGCTGGGAGGCTGAGGGCGGGCGGGCACAGTATAGGGTTACAGTCCATTTATGGGCGCAGCGGAGGGCAGATATCAGTGTCGATGGCATTCGTTCCCAGCTATTCTTAGGAGCCTCTCAGGAGCTCCACACAGCCCGGCTGGGCAGCAAGGCACGAAGCAGGCAAGGCCGGGGGTCGGGGGCTGGGGCTGAGGTCTGGACTGGGGAGGCAGGGGGCACGAGCGTCCTCTCACTCCCCTCTTCTCTGTCCACAGAGGCCGCCGGCGTCAGCGCCAGCATGTCTTACAGCGTGACCCTGACGGGGCCTGGGCCCTGGGGCTTCCGCCTGCAGGGGGGCAAGGACTTCAACATGCCGCTCACCATCTCCCGGGTGAGTGTGCATGGCCCGCAGCCTACCCCCCGTGGGGGCGGGGCATGCTAGAAGGAGGGTGTGTGCGTCCATCCGTCCATCTGTCTGTCCTCCCTGAGGCTCTTGGAAAGCAGAGCACACTTTCCTGGTCTGGGGGCTGGGACTAGACCTAACCTGATCCTGCCTGCCCCAGGCCCCTGGTCTCTGCCACAGCTGTTGCCCACCTGGGTTTGCTAGCCTATTAAGAGTATGAAACACAGGCAAGCGGCTGGTGTTTTGAGTAGAGCAGGAAATGCTAAGTTTGCAAGCAGGCAGGTAAACAGACAGTACAGCGCCTTCCTTCCTAAGCCCTTCTCCAGGTGGGCTGGGGTACACCCAAGCCTGGAGCATCTGCCTAAAAGTAGGCCGCGGCTTTGGGGAGCGAGTGCTCCTATCATGGAGACAACAGGTGACAGACTGCTGACCTTGGCTGTCCTGCAGTTGGGGCTCGGAGCTGGGCTGGGCTGATAACTGGTCTCACACACCCAATCCATCCCAGATCTGAGATAACAGCCCTATTCTCCCCCTGCCTCCCTGGGCCTGCTGGGGGAACTCCCACTGGTTGGTTTCATGGAGCTGGGCCTTCCTTCCCTGCTGGAGCACCTAGCCATTCATTTACAGCTGCTCTGCCTGCTGGTCTCACATTTGGTTCCCCATGCTCGTCTGGGGAAATGACTGTGTGTCCTGCAGTGCCTGTGACCAGGGGACAGCACTGCCTGATGGGGAAGTCAGAGATCTTTGGAGATTGTCTGAGAAACCTTATTGCCCAGCTGGAGACACTGAAGTCCAGAGAAGCAAGAAACTAGATCTGCCTGAGGCAAAGCTGTCTGTAAGACGGAACTTTGTTTTAACCACTGCTGTGTCCCTGGTACCTAGACCAGTACCTAGGTGCTCAGACAACACTTGTCAAGTAAAGGGAAGTCCAACAGAGCAGGGCTGAAGCAGAGCTATGCTCACAGTGAACTGTGAAATGTGCCAGGGCAAAGAAAACCCCCGCCTGGTGGGGTATGTCCAAGGCCGAGCCCCAGCAGTGCTGGTGTGGGCACAAGGGAGCAGGCTGAGGCCCCAGGCTGTCACTGGAGGGTGATGGATGGGCAGGGGTGTCTGGGTCACTGCCCACCTGGAGACAGGGAGACTTCTCCAGGGCAGAGGAAACTTGCCTTGGGCCTAGGGTTGGGGTGGGGAGATTGGGGGGGGAGGCACTGAAGTGGGTAGCCAGGAGAGGCCTGAAAGGTGCTTGGCAGAGGGGCAGGGAGCCAATGTCCCCACTGGAGGCACAATCCTGGCTTTGGAAACTAATGTGGACACTTGGAGGGACACTGCAATGGAAAACCCCACTCAGGGGTGGCTATGGGTGACTCACAAGAGCAAAGGAGGCTATACTTCTCTGGGGTGCTGGCCTGGCTCTAGTGCAGGGAAAAGGCACTGTCTTCATCCTTCTGTTGGAGGTCTGGCTTATTCTCACCTGAGTCTCCAGGCCCCCTGCTCTGGAGATGGCATGGTCCCATGTACTAAAGAACACCTAGAGACGCACACACTCTGTCTGATGATATGGTGACACATGGGCATTTGAGCCCCAGTGGACACACCCCCCTACTCCCCCAGAACCCTGCACAGCTCCCCACCCCCTGGTTGCAGGTTTCCTCCTTGTACAAGGCAGGACCATCGACTCTTATGAGTCTGCCAGCTTCCCACACCTGAGACAGCCCAGCTCTCCCTCAGTGCTACCATGCCCAAGGCCTCCTAGCGCTGGTCCCGACCCCATCCATGCGAATGGATATTAGCCCTCTCAGCTCAGTGGCACCCAGGATAGCCAATGACTTCACTCGGGGTCTATGCGCCACCTGGCCCCAGCCAGTCCAGGGCTTAAATTGCAGCACAGAGGCCTTAAGCTAGACAGCAGGAAGAATGTCCTCACTGTAGGCAGGGGATGTATTGGGATGTACTAGGGCCAATGATTAGGGGGTACTTTTAAAAATAGAACGCGCAGCTCAGGCAGACCATCGAGGGATGGGCCTCTCAGCTCCCTTCAGGGGCATGCCCCAAATCACCAAGGCCATGAAACATGCAGGGCTGGGTGCTGGGGCCTTCCCAGGGCTTGGAGCCTTTTGATAAATCCTCTGGTGAGCCGCTGATACCCCGGGCTTGGGCGTCCCAGTCTCAGCACAGGCCTTGGAATACAGAGCCCTACCCTCCCAACAGGACTGTGCTATTTCCTGCTGGGGCACTTAAGGTCCTTCTGCAGCAGAAACTTCTTCACTAAGGGAACAAGGCCAGAGCTCTCTGGAAGTATCCTATTCCCACTGCAGCCCTGACCCGCTTCCCATAGAGGGGCAATAGATGTCGTGACCTGAGTCTTTGCAAAAAACAAGGCAATAGTGGCGTATGGTGGTGGGAGGATAGGCAAACGCAGGGCCAGCTCATTCTCAGCAGGGGCACACACACTATAACCCTGAGGCCTGTGGTCCCTCGGACAGGGTCAGGATGGGCATCTCACTTCAGAGCCAGACTAACTGAGGTTCAAACTTGCTCACCCGCTCCTGTATCCTTGGTAACCCCTAACTCCCATGGCTACAGCCTCATCCTCTAGCTAGGGACTAGTAGAAAAACCCCGAGTAGGGCCCGTCTCTGCTGCATCTCCTCCTGTAAGAAGGTTGGCCACCTGCAGCCTGAGTAGTAGCTCCCGTACCCACCCCATTTTGCCCACCAGCCCCACAGAATCAACCTTGGAGCAATAAGAGCCCCTCAAGTCCTCCCTTCCGTGAGAGTCTCAGCCTAAGGACCCACAGAGAAATGGATTCAGGAGACAGGCTCAGAGGGTGGAGGGGAAATGCCTTTATTTATCCTGGACAGGTGCGGCTGGGCCTGCAACATGAGCTGCCCTCTCACCCCCACCCTTCCCCAACCCCAGCCAGTTCTCCAGGAAATGGGGGAGGGGTGGGAGCAGAGAGGGAGAAATTCCAAAGACCCAGCCCCAATACCTGAGCAGCTAGGCCAAGGCTAGGGCCACGGTCTGGGACTTGCCTCTTGGTGCGTGTTGCAGTCCTTGACTTTATGGCAGAGACATTAAGATTTTGTTTGGCTCTGCTACTCACAGCTGGGTCACCTTAGAAAAGTCAGTTCACCTGCTCAGCCTCAGTTTTCTCATCTGTAAAATGGGGATAATGCATCAGTGAAAACACACATGTGAGAGTGCTTTCTAATATACACTTATGAAAATACACCTGTTTTTCTTCATGGGCTGCTTGTGAGGATGGGGGGGCTGAGCCTGGGCCCAGAGAGGTCCTGTCTCTCTGCTCCAAGGCTGCCACTCCTTAGAGCTTCACCCACCCACCCAGCAGGCTCACCTGGGGCACCAGTCCAGTGGCCTCTGCCCCTTTGCTGAGCTCCGTTCCAATATTCGTCAGACTCTCTTGGCTATGGTGGGGTGGACAGAGGGTCCCCAGGGATGGGAAGGAGGACAGGCTGAAGCTATTCTGGGGCAGCCACGCCGACGATTCCTGGAATTTTAAGGTCGTGGTGCTGTTTCTTGGGTAGCACCTAGCAGTGCTGACAGCCGTGCTGTTTATAGCTGCGCTGAAGGTCAGGCAAGCCTCTGGAGGGCTGCTGCGGGGCTGGCAGGGTCTTCCCAAGGGAACGAATGGGAATGGGAACGATAAACTGACAGAGGCCACTGCAGGGAAATGCACACTTAGAGGTCGCCAGGCCAGATTCTCTCCCAGCATGCTCCCTCTCCCTGGTGCTCAGAGCTGTTCCTGATCCCCGGGAGGGCCCCAAAGAAAGTGGGTATGAGGCTGGCTAGGTCCTGGGGAGTGGGCCTTCTGAGGTCCTGGGCTAGGATGCAGGACAAAGGCAACTTCACTGGCAGCCCCCAGGGCTCCTTGGGCTGAAAGCATGGGAGAGGAGTGAATGTGAGGAGAGTGGAGCTTCCTGGGTGAGGTCTGCTAGGTTTGCTGGGGCAGCCCTCCCGCCTGAGAGATGTCTCCCCAGTTCCCTGAACCTTCCTCTCATCCAGAGGCTAGCCATGATTGCAAAGGCCCCCACCCAGGGCCCTCCTGTTCCCAAATACAGCATCTCTGTGCCTTTGAAGCCCGGATCCACCTCTTCCCAAGAACCATCCTAAGTGGCATGAAGTGGACTTTGCCACGTCCCAGGGCTCTTGGGGACCCACTGCGTAACATTCTTGACATAGAACTGTGGGATAAGAGGAGAGATTCAGAAGGCCAGTAAAGTGTGTGGCCAGCTGGAAAAGGGACCAGTGACCCCTGGCTTTGGCACAGGGAGGTCACTGGTATGTGTGGAGTGGTGGGGGCCAAAGTCAGATGGCTGATGTGAGGGGGATGGGAGACTGCAGACGCAGGGCCTGAGGGTCACTCTTGGGAGAAGCCTGGCGGTGAAGACAGGGAGACATGGCAAGGACTGACTGGGGCGGCTAAGGCATGAACAGGGAGAGGTTGTTTCTTTTAAGTCTTAAGTTTTTTTAGAGCAGCTTTAAGTTCATAGCTACATTAAGAGGAAGATATGCGGATTTCTCCTATCCCACGCCCTGCCCCCCACACATACATGCACAGCCTCTCTCATTACCAACATCCCCCACCAGAGTGTACATATATTATAACCAATGAAGCTACACTGACATGTCATTATTACAGAGAACAAATAGTTTACATTAGAGTTAACGCTTGGCATGTACATTTTATGGTTTTGGAGCAATGTATTCTGACATGTATCCAGCATTATAGTATCAGAGAGAGTATGTTCACTTCCCTAAAAATCCTCTGTGTAAGGAGAGGCTTTTTTTTTTTTTTTTTATCAGCCACGGTGGAGTTGGAGAGCAGGACCATGGGAAGACAGAAGTGAGAGAGTGAGGGATGGAGGCCCCAGGGGAAGCCAGATGGAAAGGGAGCAGAGCGTGGCATGACAGTAACTTAATCACACAATGTAAAATGCATTTAGGGCTCCATGGAAATCCCCTGGGGTGTCAGCCTTAGTGGGGGTGTCAGAAGGAGGTGCTGGAAGTTGCACAGTCCACAGCATCCACTGCCTGCCCTGTCCCCCTATTCCTTGCCACACCTACACTGGTAGGTCTAGATGGAAAACAAGGCACGGCCTATCTGGCTTTTAACACTGGGAGTGATGTCCAGGAACCTCTGTGGAGCCCAGGGGCTCCCTCTGATACCAGGAAGCTGGGGAAATAGGAGCCAGGCACAAGGGTAGGTTAGAGCCTCAGCCGGCATCTTGCTTCCCTGGGGCCCTGGAGAGGACTTCTCTCTTCTCCAGCTGATGCTCAGGCCCTTCTAAGGATAGAAGGCTGGCTCAGAACTAATCAGGGCTGGGCCCTCACACACCACCTTCTGCCAGCTCCAGAACTTGTTTCCTGTGGAGCCGGAGGCTGCAGCCTCCCAGACTCCAACTCCTGCACACCCCAGGGCAAGGGGCTGGGGGCAGTACCCGCATCTCCTCCTTCAGGAGCTTCCCTGAAACTTTCTCAGCTCCGCACTGTCCTTGTATAATATCCCATTTAATGATGAAATCCTCACCAGAATCCCGGGAGAACAGAATCATTGCTGTCTTTACACAGAGGGCATGGAGGTGGGCGCTGCAACCTCAGGTCTGGCTCAGACCAAAGTCCGTGCTCTCTGCTCTGCTGCTTCCCCCAGGCACCTGAAGGTCATGGGCACCACAGTTGCTCCCTGGCACCAGCTGTCCTTGTGCCCACTCTGGGGTGCCCTAAACTATGGCCCAGCAAGGAGGAAACACTCCTGTGGGCTATGTGGCAATCTTGGCCTCTAAACACCTAGAGCCTATCCTAGACGCTTCTGAGACAGGACCCCGGTCCTGGAGCTCTGCCTATGGCTGGGTTCCCCACTGAGAGCTGGCTGTCGACTGGAGAAGTTGAAAAGTGACATGAAGATGAAATAATCATTACAAAGAGCTTTTCAAATTCTCCAAGGGGGCTAGGAAAACTTTAAAGAAAAAAAATATATATATCCTTCAAGGATTTAGCAGCTTTGGGTCTTTCCTGGGACAAGGAAAGTGGAGGGAGGGGGCTAGGGAGTCAGACAAGAGATACATGGGCACCTCATGCCTGGACTGTACTCTCCACATGCCTTGGGATCTATGCAATGGCTCAGGGTGGCCCTGCCCTTCTGCTGGGCAGAATGTTCCTTGGGCGGAGCTGCGGGACAACCTCCTTAGGGTCCCTGTCTCCACACTGCCTTCGTCTCTAAGGATACCTGGGCAGAACTAGCAGAGCACTTTCCTACAAGAGGATTATAGCATCCTCCACCCACCAGCCTGAGGAGTCTTGAACCCTGCTCAGGGCAGCCAAAGGTCAGGCCAACTGAGCCCTGATGAACAGACACAGGTGCAGAGAGAGAGGCGCCAGGGGCAGGCTGGAGCCAGCTAGGTGGCTCTCCTCAGGGAGTTTGGCTCTTGACCAGGCCCAGGGGAGGCTGGGCTCTTCCCCAGGAATCACTTCAGTCCATTACCTGAGGATGAAGGGGAGCCAGGCCATGCCAGGCAAGGGGAAGGTGGGAGCCCTTTGGGAAGGTATCGTGTTAGCGACCCGGGCTTGCGGGAGAAAGATGTCCTCAAGGCATCTTGGAAGGGAGGACATTCCAGATGGCCGTGGTTTGTTCCAGCTGATCTGGCCCAGCATCTCTTGGATGTCATTCTGGTGTCCTTGTTCACACTTGTCCGTGATCTCCTGGATACAGATCTGGTCCCGCCTGGCAGGCATCACTTCTGTAGGCATGAGGCCCCCTCCTCTGGGGTCTGTACCTACCTTTCCTGGGAGCTCCCTGTTGCAGGATGATGGCCCCCTTCTCTGCAGACTCATAGAAGCATCTGGGGGAGCCCTGGGTTGAGAAGACCCAACACATGAGTGTCCTGCTATGGGGGCGCTCTGTGGGCAGTCCACTAAGACAGCAGAGGCATTGCACAGTTTACCCTGAATAGGAGCATGCTGGGGTCTGCTACTTTCTCTGAAATGCTTCAAATATGATATGGATTGATGGATGGTGAGAGGGATGGACACGTGACCAGCAGGTTGAGTGAAATGCAGCAGTAGAAAAGCACCGGCGGGCGTTTGAGTTTTCACTGTAGAATTAGTTCCTCCTTTCTGTATTCAAAGTGAAGAAAGTGAAGTTGCTCAGTCGTGTTCAGCTCTGAGACACCATGGACAGTAGCCTACCAGGCTCCTCCATCCACCAGATTTTCCAGGCAAGAGTATTGGAGTGGGTTGCCATTTCCTTCCTCCAGGGGATCTTCCTGACCTGGGGATCGAACCCAGGTCTCCTGCATTGCAGGCAGATGCTTTACTGTCTGAGCTACCTGGGATGCCCTTCTGTGTTCAAAGGCGTCTATAATAAAATGCCAGGAAGAGTAGAGGTCTGAATGCGAAGCTAGAAGGTATAGGGGAAGGTAACTTTCTTGCAGGACAGGCCTGGCTGGGCAACTCAGCTTGCCCTTAGGAGTCCCCTCTCAGTCTAGAAAGTGTTTTGCTTTTCTTTGTTATCTTTTTTTTACCCTTTGTTCAACCATTTAAATCAAAGGAAACAACAAACTCCTGTCACTAGTAGAGGCTCTGCATGGCCATTGATTTGGGACTAAAGGCGACATGTGTTTTGAGACAGTCCAAGTGGTTCAAGACACCTCTATGGGAGCCTGGAGAGCTTGGCAAACTGGACAATGTGGCTTCCTGACAATTAAGGCATTTGTTTTTCTGTTGTCTTTGCCTCATCTCAGCAGATTCTGGGAGTGGTGAGGAGGTTGCTCTGGGCACAAGGTGGCCAGTGTTTAAGAAGGTACCACAGTTCTTGTGTCTGAAATGGCAAGACAATGGCAATTAGCAAGAACTCGCCTAGACTTGCTATAATCCCTGGGTTAGCACACATGGTTTCTGGCCTACCCTAGAGCCCATCTAGGAATGGGTTGAGGGCTGGTGACTGCAGAGCCATTCATAGCGGCTTAGCAGTAGGTTTCCATCCATGTCTGAAGTCCAGAATCTGGCCAGAGTTCCATGAGGCCTGGTATCCAGGGACAGTCCCCAGGTCCTCTTAGGGCTCCTTCTAGGATGGTCCCCAAGCCTGGCCAGATAATGGCTTCTGCCAATGTTAGAAGCCAGCCTTGTCCTTGGGGTATAGCCAGAAAGGTGACTAGGATGTGCCCAGAGAAGCCAGGAGGCCTGGCTGGTGGGCATGTCGGGGAAAAAGAGCCAAGGGACACCCTCCAGGCACAGCTCATTGCGGGGGTGACTCCCAGGGTCTCCTCTTTCCTATGATGTCACTAGAGGCAAGACCTGCCTGGCATCCCATGTGATGTCACAGGGGGCTTCCTGATGATGTCGTTGGGGTCAGGTTACAAAGTTATTCTATGTGATGTCAGCAGGGGGTGGAGTCAGAGTCTCTACGACATCCCATGAGACACTTTTAGAAGAGAAGCTTCATGACACTGTATATAATGTCACTAGGGACTGGCCACAAAGCTATTTTAGGTGATGTCACTAGGCCCTCCAGAATTTCACATTTCATGTGATGTTACTGTAGGGGAGGCCATCGTGACATTCAGGGTGGTATTATTGGGGGGCTGGACATGCAGAATTTGGCATGGTGTGTGATGTCATTGGGAGTAGAGTCTCAGCCATCTCAGCATCACAAGTAATATCCCTGGGAGTGCAACCTTCCTGATATTACATGTGATATTCATGGGATGGCGTATGCATGTTATCCTGCGTGATCACACTGGGGTGGAGCCCCCAGACTCATATTCTGTAATGTCACTAGAGTGCAAGATTTGGGAGCTGGCCTCTGGAAATATGAAGCCAACCACAGAGCATTGAGCTCCATGTCCCAGCTGACCTTGTTCCCCCAGGCAGGTTGACACTCTGCCAGACTTCTCTGTACACCTGTCACGGTAGAGCACTAGGCACTTAGGGTGTTATTGTGAGGATGCATTTGGCTGCCTGCTGGCCTGGCAGCATCTAAGTTCTTCTGGAGCCTGGAAACATGCCATGGGTTTTCAGGGTACAGATGCTGTAGTAGGCTAATTGGTGTAACAAACAACCCCCAGATCTCTTGCAAAAGTTTCTCATTCATTCAACATCCAGTTCAGTGCTCCTTAGTCATCTTACCTCCAAGAAGTGACTCCAGGATCCAGGTCCCTTCCAGTTAGTGGCTTGACTGGTCTCCTCTGGGTCCTTTATATCCAGTAGGCTGACAAGCAGAGAGAATTGAGGATGGCAAGATGATTGCTAGGGGCAGGCCCGGAAGTGATGTGCGTTGCTTTAAACTATATTCCACTAGCCAGAGCTAGCCTCATGATCACACTCAGATACAAATCTACCAAGAAATATGTCAGTTTTGTGGCAAGAAGAGGAAGCAGGCTTGGTGGCTACAGTGAATGAAAGACGAAACGGCAAGCCTCTGCTGAATGATTCCCTGGTGATTCTTCTCCGAGGACTGTCCCATCCTCAGGTCACCCTTCTATGCTTACCCTCCATTTGCTATCCTCTCAGATCACGCCGGGCAGCAAGGCCGCACAGTCCCAGCTCAGCCAGGGTGACCTTGTGGTGGCCATTGACGGCGTCAACACAGATACCATGACCCACCTGGAGGCCCAGAACAAGATCAAGTCTGCCAGCTACAACCTGAGTCTCACACTGCAGAAGTAGGTGGGAGCTCTCCAGAGCAGAGGGTGGAGGCTGGGTGTAGGCACCAGGTATCCCAGGGAGAGGAGCTGTCCAGCATGGGCCAAGCCTTGTGCTACCAGACTGCACCGGGAAGTGAGGACAGCCCCTGGGCCAGAGTAAGGACAGGCCCAAGGCATCAAGCACCACCGTGTCTGTGCCTCACTTTACAGAGGAGCTCATAGAGGGTGGGGCACGGGGCTGCCAGAGTGTGGGCAGCTGGGCCTGGAGGCCAGGGTCTTCCCTGCTTTCTCTGCACACAGGCAGCCTCCCTGGGACTTGACAGAGGCCCATGGCTGCTAAGTACCCAAGAGACGTGACTTCTCCATGCTGGTCAGGCTCAGGGGACACCCAGTCTCCCTGGGTTTCAGATGTTCTCCCCTCACCGACCCTGCCCAGGTGGGTGCTCTGGGCCCTGAGAACAACTGTCTTCACCTGTTCCTATTTCTGGCTTTTCCAGGTCGAAGCGTCCCATTCCCATCTCCACGGCAGCGCCCCCAATCCAGTCCCCTCTGCCAGTGATCCCCCACCAGAAGGTAGGTGCTGACTGTGGGTGGCAGGCTCCACTTTCAGCCATGGTTCCTGAAGTGCAGCCCTGGTCTGCCTACCTGAACTTCTGCTGGCCCCACTCAGGCGGGGTGGTGGAATCAGTGGCAGAGCTGGGGCAGGCCCCTGGAGAGATGCGTTCGAGCTCTGACGAAATGCTGATTTTGTGATAATGTAGGGGTCTCCACCTGGGTGCTTAGCCAATATCTGTACCTCACGGTTGGGCTGATGGGAAATCTACTTAGTCCACAGCATTTTCAGGGAAGGGACAAGTCAAGCAGGGACAAATCCCAGGACAAGTGTCCAGAAGGCTCTGACCCTCATGCTCCTGAGGGCACTAGCAGGGGCCTGACGCTGGCATGAAGCCAAGGCGCCAGTTTGAGTCAGTCACTCCAAGAAAAGCTCTCAGCCGTGGGGGTCTTCCGCCCCTCAGGGTTTCTCCTCTGTCACAGGCACTCTCCCTCCAGTTTTCCTTTCTCCTCCCAATTACCTGCCCCTTGGCTTCCTTCACAGCTCAGTTGGTAAAGAATCCACCTGCAGTGCAGCAGACCCCAGTTTGATTTCTGGATCAGGAAGATCCCCAGGAGAAGGGATAGGTTACCCACTCCAGTATTCTTGGGCTTTCCTTGTGGCTCAGCCGGTAAAGAATCTGCCTGCCATTCGGGAGATCTGGGTTTGATCCCTGAGTTGGAAAGATCCCCTGGCCTGCCTATTCACCACCAGCCTAGGAGGCTCTGTCTCACTGGCAATGTGCAGCATTGCAGCGTGGGGTCACAGAGCAAGGGGCAGGGCTATGCTCACCAGGTGTCCTCATACAGGGGAAGGGGGAACAGATGTAGGCTAGAGGGGTCTCCCCCCAGTTCCCTGAGACCACACCACCCTTACCTCCAGTCCCACAGGCAGGGTGGCTTGGCCTAGCTTTCTGTGTCGGGCTTTGCATTTTGTCTAGTTTGGTGAAAGCATCAGGGCCAGGAGCCATATACCTCACCCTGCTTTTTTTTTTTTTTAGAAAACTCTTCTTTTCCAGGTGTCCGGGCTGTCTCCCCACCGCGAACTCAGTGCAGTGGGCTGCAGGCGGCAGGGTGGTGGGCTGCTGGGCGCTGGCACTAACCCCTCTATTTCAGGTCCACGTGGAAGTGCTGGGCGGGCGTGGCCTCTAACTGCTCTTTTCTCTCTCCCCTGCATGGCGCTGCCCTGGGCCAGGAACCTGCTCTGGACACGAACAGCAGCCTGGCAGCACCCAGCCCCCACCCTGAGGCGAGGGCCGGCCCGGGCACCCCAGGCACCCCAGAGCTTGGGCAGACCTTTAGCTCTTCCTTCTCTCAGACCTCCGTCTTCTCCTCACATATGGAGGCCTCTGACCCCGGCCCTCCCCGGGGCAGCCCTGGGGCCAAGATCAGCCTGGAGGGGGCCCTGGACTCACTCAGCCCGAAAGCCCCCCTGGGCTCGAGCCAGCCAAGGCAGTATAACAACCCCATTGGCCTGTACTCGGCAGAGACCCTGAGGGAGATGGCTCAGATGTATCAGATGAGCCGCCGAGGGAAGGCCTCAGGTGCTGGACTCCTAGGAGGGTAGGTAACGGGCGCACAGCTCTCCGCTGGTGGTCAGGGGCCACCTGGGTCCTCAGTGCTCATAGAGGCCTGATCAGGTTAGAGTGGGGAACTGGTCTCATTGCGGCCAGCTCCAAGCCCATGAGGCAGCACAGCCTAAAAGCCCTGAAAGTAATCAGCCTATTGACACTTGCCCTCATTACTTTACGCAAGCCAGCGTGGCATGTCAGATTTTGCAGAGAGGGAAACTGAGGCTCAGAGAAGGGTAGGGTCCAGTTGTCTAACTACTAAGTGGTTGAGTTGGGCCTGAATGCAAGAGACTCGGACTCCCAAAACTTTGACATCAGGTCACCCACCATGACAGGACAAAGCCTGTCCTAAAACCTCCAAGAACTCTGGGGCCAGGGGATACACTCATCCCACCCCTCTCGGAGCTCTGAGGGTTAGGAGGGCAAGTTCTCTAGGTCTGGTAGTGATCTGGGAAGGCTGCCTGGAGGAGGGAGCACCTGAGCTGGGTACAGAGAGGTTGGGCAATGGGGTGAGGGGAGTGGTTGGCAGGACCAACTCTGACTAGGGTGGGAAAGCAAGGGATCAGGACTCTGAGGAGAAAGGAGCCATGCAGGAGAACAGCATACTACCCCCTGGCCCCCAAGGTCTAGCTGATGGGACTCTTGGCACACAGGAATTTTTAAAAATCTAGAGCTGTGTGGGCACTGTGGAGAGGTTGAGGGAAGGGAGCTGCCAAGCAGAGCATGCATTAGCTGCCAAGCCCGGCACATTTGTTATCTCATTATAATTTCTCCCATGGCCCCATGTAATTGGTGTCGTCATCTCTGGGCTGGAGGCAGAGCAGGCTGAGTCAAGGCATATGGCCCAGTGGTTAGGGGTTCAGGGCTCTTCCATGAGACTGTTCATACACCTGGACTGTGGGGAGGACTGAAGGAGACAACACGTGTGTAGTGCTGAGCTCCATTCTGGCACACTCTCTACATGCTACCTGGCATCATTGCCTGGAGTCACGCAGCAGGTACATTGATGAGTCAGCATGGCAATCTGGGTCAGTTTGATCCAAGCCCACACCCTTCCTGTGACCTTGCTGCAGACGGTACCTGTACTCCACCCACTTGCTCCTTCCCTGGGGATCTCCAGCTTCCCCAGAGCCCCAAGCTCTTTCTGGGATTCCGAGTGAAGCTGGGCGATTCATAGTCTGAGCCCTTGGATCCTGGCTTCCCTGGACCAAGGTGGCAAAGCCTTAGAACCCCAGGCCTTTTCTAGTAAAGGCCTTCTGCTAGGAGGCTGAGGGAAAGACAGAGTAGAAGTGGCGCCCTTCTCCTGCCTTGAGAAGGCTGGCAGGTCCTCCTGGTCCTCTTTGGGGACTAGCCCCCCAGCAGACCAGGAGGTCTGACCTCCCTCCAGCCTGACCCAGGAGGTCAGGCTCTGGTGGATCTAAACCTCCATGGGGCCCACCTGCAGTGATGGTAAGGTCTCTGCTCACTGAACCATCCATGGAGGTTGGGGGCTGATTAACAGTCCATATGCTTTGTCTAACACAACTCTCAGCAACTTCAGAGGTGGGTATCGTTCCCTCATTTGATAACGGGGAAGTAGAAGCCCAGAGAGAGCAAGTCATTCGCCCAAGGTCACACGGCTATTGAGTGGCAGACAGGACTGGCACTCAGGTCGGTCTGACTTCTCCCTGCATGGAGACAGGGACCTACCTGCCTGCCCCACTCCTGCTTCTCATGACTCCCAAGGTGCCCTCCCATTGGTGCAGTGGCTTCTCAGAACCTGACAACTGTCAAATTATTACTTGACACTCAGAGCAGCAGGGCATAAGAGTTTCTTTGAAGAAAAATGGGCTAGAGAGGGAGTGTGGTGCATGCCTCATTTAAGTCAAAAGCTGATGCTACGGCCCCAACCCGAGGGCCAAGGCCACCACTTTTTGCTGTGTCTAACTGCTCACGGGAGACAGGGTTGGCAAATGCTAAGCCCTACGTCTGTTCATTGCATACTTAACCCATGCTGAGGGTTTTACATTCAGGCTTCTGTTCATTCTGCGGTGGGCACCACCCTCTCAATTTTATGAATAAGGAGACAGAGGCTAAGACAGGTAAGTAACTTGTTCAGAGTCATAGCACTAGGAAGATGAAAGGTCAGGATTTGAATTCTATCCTGTCTGGCTCCACAAGGAAGCTCCTTCTCATACTCTCTGGGCAACCTGCAAGGTGATTCCTTGGCAACTTGTATCGCCTTAGGAGGAATGGAGAGGAACAGAGTGGGTGCAAGGACAGCGGGGCCTGCAGCCCCTGCTCCTCATCCTCTCTGGGGCTGGTACTGAAGAGCAGTGTCCCTCAGGCCAGTAGATGCAAGGGCCCCCCTCCCCGGGGTGGTCTTACAGCTTTGGCTCATTCTCCCCAAGACCTGGGTGCTCCTCTCTGAGCTGTCTGCTGCAGGCATCCCAGCCTCCAGGTTCTCAGGTGAAAGTTAAACAGGGGGGCTAAACAAGGAACTGGCTACCTGGGCGGGGAAGGGCAGAAGCCTCCCCTGAGGCCAACACTGCCCTCTACAGGGAACACTGGGCTGGTCAGGGCAAGAGCTGACCCTGCAGCTGTCAGCACTGGCCAAAAATGGAGAAGGAATGGGAGATCTGTGCTGGCCCTTTCCTAATATAGCTCCACTGACAGCTATTTTGAGCCTGGGAGATCAGAGGGGATTTTATCAGCTCTGAGACAGAGTTGAGCCTGGCACTGGGGGATCTCCCTGACTTTGGTCTGGATCCCCAGGATCCTGGCCAAGAGATGACCAGGCTAGGCCAGGCCAACAGAAGCCCAGGCTCTCCCAGCCAGAGTCCAGAGTGGTGACAGAGTGTGGGGGCAGGGACACCACTGTCTACATTCTTCTCCCCTCCAATTTCTGACCAGGGTCTGTCACTGCAAGGAATTTTCATCTAAAGAAACATAAGGCAGGCAATGCCTCTTTCAAGGAGATGATGCTCCAGGAGGCTGGCTCTCAGATAAGAGTGAGGGTGGGGTCCCTCTTGTAGTGTCCAAGCTGGGCTGTCTTGGTTGGGGGCCTTCCTGCAAAACACCATGGCCCACACTTCTCCCAGGCTTCCCCACCGCTCCATCCTGCATCATTGCCCATCCACAGGCTTTTATGGGTGGTTACTGGGAACTGCACAGATCCCTTACTACTGTGCCCCAGGAAAAGGGTCCAGAGCTGCCTGCCCCTCCTCTGGGAAAGAGAACATGTTCCCAGGGCTTCCTCTCCAGGGTCTAGAGCCAGGTTGTATGTGGGAGATTCATGTACATGGTAAATGAGCACCCATGAAGATGGACCAAAAAACCCCTTCTCCTAGGCAAAGCTTGAGGTACTGTGGACCTACGCCTCAGTTGGCATCTCTGCCCCAAACTGAAAGGCTATGATCCAGACTCTGAGCTTTGCCCACTCCTCTCTCTGCGCTCTCTTCACCGAGTGCCTGTCTGGGCTGACTCCGCTTCCATATTGGCCAGTTTGAGGACCATCCCTACGTCCTTATGCTCAAACCCTCTGGCAGGAGCCTCACTCTGATAGTCCTGTCTTCTTTGCTCTTTCTCTCCTCCCCAGGTGGTAGCCAACTCTCCAGCCAAGTTAGTATCAAAGGAAAGCACGCGTGTGCGCTTGCCTGCCTATCCCAGCATGCGCCCGCGTGTCTGGGGGTCTGAACAGCGTGCGCCTGTGTTAGCATGTGTACATGTATGTGCATGCGTGAGTGAGTGTGCATTCGTGTCCCTGCGTGAGGCTGCATGTGTGTGAAGCTGCGAGAATGAAGTGGAGGCGTTGGGGAGGGGTGCTGGGGCTCCGTCGGATGCCTGGGGTCATTGTGTTCCCAATTCGTTGCTGCAGCTGCTTAAGAAGGCAGGTTGGCTCTGGTGGGCTGCTGGGTGGAGTGTGTGCTGACGCTGGTTCCCGATGAGCCTGAAGACATTTCTAGCCTGGCCGGATCCCTCAGAAGGGCTGGGCTTGACCTTGTCCTTGTCTGCGGAGCGCACTTAACTTTTTGAAGGGGAATGTCTTGATGGGTAGAAGCTGGTGGCTGCCCAGCAAGTTGGACTTGGGGGCGCTGAGCACCTAAACCCTGCTCCGAGGAAGAAGCACATGCACCGAAGAGTCTGGAGGAGCAGAGCCCCTGGGGAGTCCAGGATGAGCCCCTTCGTGGAGAAGCCAAGCTCAAAACCCCCACGGGTGCCCAGTGGGGCTGTTTTTTTGCCTTTGGGGCGTTCTGGACTCTGCTTTGGCTGCCACTGCCTTTGACTCATGACCCAGCTCTTGTCCCCTAATCCCAATCCCCACCCCACCCCACCCCAACCTTTGCCATCTGTTTCCCTGGGGGAGTGGTGAGAGATCTTTCCATGCCCCCCAGCGCAGGCTTAGTGGGGGCCTCCAGTGATCTGGGAAAGTGCAGAAACACCTTCTGCAAAGGGCTCTGGGGAGGGTGAGAGGATCTTCCTGACCAAACCCAGCCAGTCCAAGTGGATCTGGGTTACTTGGTTAGCCTTCCTAGGATCAGGCTTGGGGAGATCTCTCTCCACATCCTCCACCACCAGCCTTCACCTTCAGCGGTGTAACACCACCTGTTGCCCTTCTCTCCTTGCACCTCCCTCCCTCACTCCCCTCCCCCTCACTCCCCTCCCCCACACTCCCCTCCCCCACACTCCCTCCCCCACGCTCCCCTCCCCCATGCTCCCCTCCCCCATGCTCCCCTCCCCCAGCGCCGACTACCAGGAACGCTTCAACCCCAGCGCCCTGAAGGACTCAGCCCTGTCGACCCACAAGCCCATCGAGGTGAAGGGGCTGGGAGGCAAGGCCACCATCATCCACGCGCAGTACAACACGCCCATCAGCATGTACTCCCAGGACGCCATCATGGATGCCATCGCCGGGCAGGCCCAGGCCCAGGGCAGTGACTTCAGTGGGTAAGCGCCTCCCCGCCTCTACCGGGCGCTCGCCGACTCCACCGCTTCATCTCCGCGGAGGGCACCGGGCCGCTGAGCGCCACTGGAGACTTTTAGGCTTCGGGACCAGTCTTCCTCCACCGTCTTGAGCTTCCCAGGGCACAGCCCTTGGAAGAGAACCAGCCTTGACCGGGTCTTTCAGACAGAACATGGTGTTCTCTCTTCAGAGTCGGTTTCATGGTCAACTTTAGGAGAAGGGTAGAGAAATACCGCATGTGGTGGTTCCTCCAAGTGCTTTACACAGCCTCTGCATTTTCCCAGGCTCCCTGAGGGGGCTGGTATAGAAAGAGACTTCCGGAATCTTGTTAACCGGGGTCACATTCTGGATACCCCAGGTTCTCACAGCTAAGCCATTCTTTGAGGGGAAGTTGTCGCTTTCTTCTCAAATACATGACTGGGTTTCTTGTTTGGGAAGGGACCTCCAGACCAGTCACCCACTGTGCTGTTGGCAGTCAACCCTGCCACAGAGCCTGGGAAACACCCAGGACCTGCCTCCTCCTGTTTGCCCCCAGAGAAACCCAGGATCAGGTTGGTGGGACTTAGGATATCCTAGGTTCCTGAATTTGCTTGTTAGCAGTGGTTGAGGAACTTGAGGGCTGAGTAGGGAAAGAGTTGGCTAAAAATCATTTGTGGATGAAACTGGTAATAGTGCAAATTTTAATGGGGACCTCACTCCCTCCTTCTGAATTTCTGTCTCTGTTTATCTTAGTCTTTTTCTTTTCTGCCTTTCTTTCCGTGTATGCCTGTATCTCTCTTTCTGTCTCTATCTCACTCTTTTTCTCTCTCTGTTGTTTCTTTCTTCCTTACACATACACACACAGAACCCATCCTGTATTCTACTTGGGAACACCATTAGTGTTGACTTTCAAAACTGATTATCTCTTTGGGTAACATGTTATCCCTGAGTCAAGATCTACAACAGCTCAAGGCAAGAAACCTTAAAATGTTTGTACTTTTTTCCAAAGCTAGAAAAACCAGATGTTGTAAGAGGGGTAGAGGCATTATAAAGTCCCGGATAACTCCTGTAGTGTTTGGCCTGAGCAGAGGCCAGTCCTCGTGGCCATGACATGTGTAGGTTTCAGGTGCAGCCTACAGAAGCCAATGGATGGAAAATGGTGTGCTCTTCCTGGCTCTCCTGATGCAGGGGAGCCTGTCCCTCTCAGGCACGCAGTATTTCCTTTGGGCCACCAGGGGGCGGAGGTTGCTGTCCCTGGAGCAGTGAATCTCAAACCCCATGGACTCAGGGCTTTAGTTCTTTGTGGAACTCTCCGGGTAGTGCTGACTTATCTAATCCCATCTTTCAAAGCAGAAAATATGACCATGAAAGTTTAAAAATGCAGCCATTAGCTCATGAGTGCCCAGGAAAACAAGACTGTCTGATTAAGCCATAGAGTGAACAGGGATTTCCTGTTAATATTTGCTTGCCATGTGTGTCCTCAGTGTGACCTTAATGTGGTAATATTCGCCAAAGGGAAGCACAATGGAAGATAAGCAAAGAACTACTATTCACTGATTTATGTTTTCTGCACCTTGGGAAAAGACTGCAGTCATTTGGTTTTACCTCTAGGATGGCCATGATGTAATTTTTTTTTTAACATGATGCACCATTGATCTAATCTAGGCTTCTCCTTCCTACCACTTTCCCTCCCATCCTTTTCCTCTCCCTTGCGAGCCTGGGAAGCAACATGCTTCCTTTTCCTTCTAACTCAGCCCTGCTGGGTTGATGCTGCCGTGGTGCCCCTGTCTGCCATAAGGTGTTCCATTTCTGCTGTTAATTTCCATGATTCCTTCCTCACTGACAGTTTTCTTTTTGTTTCTCTCTCTTCCTCCTCTATCCACCAACTCCCATAACTCATTTCTGATCCTAACCCTGCTCCCTTGTGTATGCGCCGCCCCCCGCCCTCCCATGATGGACACGCACTCACTGCTGGGCTTTCCTCTGCTTGGCAGGGCATCACCACTGGCGTAAGTAGACCCCACAGTATTTGTTCCGTCGTCCGTCTGTCTGGTTGCGGGATGGTGTATGGGTTTGGTGGGATGTGCCTGAGGACAGTGGCTCTGTCCACATTCTTCCTCACACCCACCTCACAGGTAAATGACATGCCCTGCAGCCTCTACAGGCAAGTACTTGTCTTTGGGGGTTTTCCCCAGATAACATCACTACAGACACAGAAATCAGAGCAATGACATCACCCTGGTTAGGGCTGTGTCTCATGTTCTCCTTGCTGTGCTTTTTGGGGGCTCCCCCCAGCCTTTCTGGTCTGCACTGGGACAGTGGAGTCCTGAACGTCAGAATCTACATCAGGTCATTACTCAGGGAGAGAGTGATGAGAGGGCCTCTTGGAGGTCACTCCCTAGAATCCTCATGAAAGATGGATCTGAAGAAGCCAGCCCCCACCAGGACCACCCATAGGAGGTGAAACCTCACTGAGACTTGGGGGCAGTGTACAGTGGAGTGATGCCCACAGGTGACCTTGATGTTGTAGTGAGTGTGGAGTGTTTTTGGTGGTAAGAAATTCATGCTGGGAGTGGCTCCAGAGAGTGGCCCTGGACCCAGGGTCCTAGAACTGCAGGGCCTATTCTATCCCCTCTCTGCATGTATTATGTCTGGGCCCCAGACTCTCAAAAGGCACAGCAGTTCCTTCGTCTGGTTCCCAGTGTCTGTTGCGGCATCACCACAAGTCCCTGGTCTTTGCATAGTGTTATGGGAAGGGAAGCCCACAGTGGGACTCCTAAGGGACTCACTTCTGGGGCTCTCTTTCTTGAGCCCTTGGAGCTATGGAAGGAACAGGGAAATATGTTCCCTCAAGGGAACATTCCAGGGAAATAGCAGCAAAAGACTTTCATCTGATTCAGGTCTCCTTGAGACTCCTCCCTGTGCTAGAGATGACCTCCCCAGTGAGATCCCAGCCTCTCCTCTCCTCCCAGTCTCCTCCCTGGCTGGGACCCCCTAGGGATCTGCTGGTTTCCCTATCTGATCCCAGCCACAGGCTTCCAGGACCTGTAGCTCTCTGGGCCAGGGCAAAGCCTTCAGGAAAGTAGGGTAGCTCCACCCTGCCTTGGTCAGTTACCTTCTGCTATCTTTCTCCTCCTCTGCTCATGTAGCTCACTCTGAGCTGACACAGGGGACCAATCCTGGGAGACTAGGCCATTTCTTCTGTCCAGCTCCTTGCAGAGAGGGTAGACGATGGAAGCACTGGGGAAGTCGTCTTTGCAGCTAGCCAGTGCCCGGGGGTTGGGGGGAGAGGTCGAGGCAGCCATAGCAGCAGGCAGGGTGCGCCTAGACAAGGGGAGTATCTGGGCGGGGCCATGTCTCCAGGTGGGGAGCACCTGGGGTGTGTAGATCTCCAGCAGGCAGAAGTGGCCTTCATGAGCCTGTTGCTGCAGAGGGTCTGATGAAAAGGATGCTGAGCTGGGGGCTGGGAAGCCTGGGTTCTAACTCCATGAGGGTCCCTACTTGACATAACCTGGAACTAGTCAGCCGGCCTCTGTGGACTTCAGTTTCAGCGTCAGCAAGAGGAGAGAGCTGGGCCACCAGTCCACAGGCTGGGGAAACAGGCTGTTGTTATCCTGAGCTTCTCCTGAGCCCACCCTGACTCCTCAGAGACTGGGCTGGGCAGCCTGGATCCCCCAGCCCTCTCTGGTTGAGTGAGTGGTCATCCACAAAACTTTTAATGTGTCTTGCCCTGCAGTCTGATCTGGGTTGATCTTGTATTCAAGAGGCTTTAGAGTTCCTTCTGGTTCTGATCAAGGATTTGTTCATTCAACTAAGTTTTGAGCACCTACCATATGCCAGAGCTTAGGGGTCTCAGAGAAGGTCACCAGGCCCCCCTCAAAAGGCTGTACTCCCCTGGGGCAGAGGACTGGTGACCCTCCCCACAACTCCACTCCCAGCTCCCTTGGACGAGAAACCCCACTATCCCTGGGTGATGCTGGGCCTCTGGGGCCCAGTTGTCATTTCTCCAACCACATCCTCGCTGAGCTTGCTTATTTCTGCTGAGCAGGAGCCCACAGTCCTCTTCCAGAGAAGTCATGACAGTGGTGGCTCCCAGTTTGGACCCCAAGCTTTGAGGAGGCCAAGGGACTGACCTTGAGGAAGCCTCCGAGTCCCCAAGTAGCCTGTCTGTCCTTACCCAGCCCCAAACTCAGGAACTGCTTAGGGAGGTCAAAATTACTTCCAGAAGACCTCTTCGGCCTCTTCTTTCCTTCAAGGAGATCCAGCTCCTGAGGGGGGAGGGTATCTTCAGATCTGTGTCTGGAGACAGACTTGGGGGTGGGGTGGGTGTTGACAGGAGGGTCTGAGCCTCCTGACCCTCCATGAGTGGAATTCGCTGACTCACTGTGACCTCCCTGAGCACTGAGGATCCAGGCCAAGCCCTTGTTGCAGGCTCTTAGATGGCAGTGGGGAAAGGCAACGGTGGGCTCAGCAAATAGGGGGCTGCCAACAGGCTTGGGGGGGTGTTGGGGGGGCACCAGGGGAATGTGACATGGGGAAGGTGCAGGGGCCAGGAGCAGGGTTCCAGCCCTGCCCTCTCCCACGGCCTCTCTCTGCATTGCAGGAGCCTTCCTATCAAAGACCTCACTGTAGACAGTGCCTCTCCCGTGTATCAGGCTGTGATTAAGAACCAGAACAAGCCAGAAGATGAGGCCGACGAGTGGGCGCGCCGCTCCTCCAACCTACAGTCTCGCTCCTTCCGCATCCTGGCCCAGATGACGGGGACAGAATACAGTAAGGGAGGGCTGTCGGGGGTGGGGCAGGAAGGAGTGACTTTGAAGGGCCATGAGGGTCCTGGGCCCTACGCCACGGTCCCACAGAAGCCAGGGAGCCAAGCCCCCTATCCTGGAAGATGAGCTGGCCTTGATAGATAGTGGCCTCTTGTGCCCTTTCTGGGCCCCTGGGGCAGGCACATTGACATCGGCCTTCTGCTTGGCTCCCTGACTCCAGTAGCACCTGGATTGGTTTAAGAGGACTTGGCGGAACTTCCCTGGTGGTCCAGTGGCTAGGACTCCACTATTCCAATGCAGGGGGCCCAGATTTGATCCCTGGTCAGGGCACTAGATCTTGCATGCTGTAACTAAGACCTGGTATGGCCAAATACATAAATAAATTAATTAAAAAAAAAAAAGAGGACCTTACAGTCCACGCCTCTGGCCACTCCCTCCCAGCTGCACCACTTCTTCTAAGGTCCCTTTTCTCCTCCTTGCCCTCTGCCCAGCACACAGCCTTTTCCTTCCAGAGGTCACAGGTAGGAGGCAATAACTGTCCCATCATGCGTGGGGACTCTGCCCACCGAGCTCCAGTAGCTTTTATTCCTGATGTTCCCTGTGATTCTTCCTGACCTGCAACTTTCTACCCACAGTGCAAGACCCTGATGAAGAAGCTTTGCGAAGGTCAAGGTAAGTGCCTGGACTCAGGCTCTGTGGCCTTGTCCCTCCTAACTCCATCCCTCCCAGGGCATCCCCCAGGTCACACAACTCACAGAAGGAACATCTCAAGTTAATGCATCTGGAAACTCCCAGCCCCTGCGGGGCTCTGGCAGATGCTGGCTTGGGGTGTGTGTGTCCCAGGTCAGTGAGGTGGGTGCCTGGAGCTGAGTCTCTATCCTCCTGGCCCAGGCTGCACGAGCAAGGACTCTGGGCTCTCCCGGCTCTCTCCCTGGGCAAGGGGCAGGGCTGCTTTGGCCTTTGCTGGGCTGTTGAGAATGAGGGCATCTCTTCCTGTGAGGCACCAGGCTGGCTGCCTGGCCTGCCCACTCATCTCAGGGCCTGTCCCCTGTGAGTCTGAAGGGTAGGCACTGGGAAGCTAGCTGGCACGTGGAGGGCTATGCTGGGCTGGGGCACCTGGCCTTTGGACTCACTTGTCCAGACCCACGTTGAGGTATCAGTTCCACAGACGGCTCACAGCACCACAGCTGCTGCAAGGAAGCAAAGCCCTGGGCATGAGGTGGGCACACTGCCCTGGAACCCACTGGAACCCGCTAGGGCCTTCCATGGGCAGGCATGGGGCCCAGTGTGACTGTGCTTACACTTCCAGAAGCAAATGTGTTGTCTGCATGTCCTTCCTGGGAGAGTCTGCCTTGGGCTGGCACGTCCCGTGGTGGCCTCCGTGTGAGGGGCTGGGGCTCAGAGGTGCCTTTCCACCCTGGGCTAAGCTTTCTATCTTTGCTAACCAGCGTGTAGTGGCCATGGGACCACGTGGAGAGTGGGACTCTGGGGTCAGCTCGAGTTGATGTGGATTTTCTTTTTGAACTTGTTTCTGTGAATTGAAGTTGCTCCCACTCTTTGGCTGGGGCATCTAAGCCTAAAGTGTGGTCCTCCCCGGCCTGCTAACAATGGCATGCGGTTCCAGTGATGGTTCTTAACCTGTCGGTGCCTGCAGTGTGTCTGTAAAGAGCCTGAAATGAGATGGTGTTTGATTTAGCACAAAAGGTAGTATCGAGCTATTTGAGGCGTAACTAAGCTGTCAGCTCTCTCCGCCCGGTGCTCCTCTGCTCCTGCGTCATTTCTGTGTTTATCCCACCTCCTTTTCTGAGTGCCGCTCAGAGATACTCCAGTGAGCAGTGTGGTCTTTCCTGAAGATTTGACAGAGGGGCTTTACAGCACACACCACAAATTGCTCAAAGATCTCCAGGTCCCTTCCATCAAGAAGCCAGTAGGGGCCTGCCCTGCCTTTCCAGCCCCCCATCACCCCTTCTCAGTACTTCTGGACACTTTATGTTTCTGGGGCCAGCACTCTCAGTTGGCATCTCAGTAACCAGACTCCATTTAGAAGGTGGAGTTCTAGACACTTAGTGTGGGTCGAGAACCTTTGTCTCACGTGTTCTCCCTGGAATACTTGTAGGCTTCCGAAGTCATTGAGTGAGAACACAAAAGGTGGTGTTCACGGTGGTCCGCTGTGGGACCTCCCCTCCCCTCCTTTCAGAAGCATCTCTTGGGGCCTGTTCGGCCTGGTTGTCTTTCCCCACCAGGCCCTTTCCCCACCCCGGGGTCTAACTGCCCACAAGCTCCGTTCAGATCCCCTCCGAAGGCAGGGTGTCTTACGAACTCTGCAGCAGGCCTTGGAGTCTCTCCCTCAGCCCTGGAGGGTTTCCTTGTAGGGAATTCTGGAAGAGAGGGGCCCAAGAAGAAACTTCAGCCTGCTTCCTCCCTCGGTCAAGCTCCTTGACCCACGCTAAGAAAGCAGCCCTCCCCCCCGCCCCAGCACTGCACCCCTGTCAGCCCCTCCCTCTGAGTCTGCAGTACAGGCTCTGAGGCCCCCAGGAAGCCTCTGTCTGGGACTGGAAGAGCCTAAGCCTCCTGCCCTTCTCCCTTTTCCTGACTTAAACTTCTGGAAGGTTGTCCTCACAGCTACCCCACCAAATGCCCCTTCTCCCCATGGCCAAAGGAGGAAAGTAGGCTTTTTTATTTGCTGAATGGCACGCAGCTTCTGGCCCGGGGAGTGAGAGATGGGGGTACAACAGGTGCTGTGGTTCAGTTCTGTTTGTGATTAATGCCCGAAGTAGTGACTTTGGCCACTGGTCCCAGCTGGTCCCAGGCTCAACCGAGAGGCCATCTGAGCAGTAGGGAACACACTTACCCCTACCCTGAGTCCACGCTGGTCAGAGATCTTGCTCCCTTGGGGGACTGAGCCCCACTTGCATCTGTCCCTCCTCCCAAGTTGGAATCTGTACCTCCAGACCTTGCTGGTGCATCTTGTTTGCTGAGGGTAGACACGGCCTCTGTCCTTCCCCCTCCCAGTTGAGCCTGACTCACAGTGGGGGATCTGAGAGTCTCCCACAAAGGCTGCATTCCCCAGGAAGGCTTCACTGCACCTTGCTTCCAGGGAGCTCATTCCAGCATGGCCTGAGTTTGCTAAATCTGGGGCCCAGCAACCTGGGCACCGTGGCAGTCTATTTAGGCTTGTATGTCTGCTGGGATGCTTTTTCCTTTTTGCTGCTGTGTGCTGGGAAAGCTGGCAAGAATGCCAGTTCTGCACCAGGCAGGGCACTGGGTGGCCTCCAGGACAGGTGTAATCTGCATGTCAGAGGACCGGCACACTTGCCCCTAACTGTCCCTTCTCCACCTTTGGGACAGCACCCACCATGCCCCAGGGCCGCTCAGAGCCCTCCCCCGCCCTCCCCTCCTCTCCTCTTGGGCCCTGGCTCCTGGCACTGTGGCAGTGTCTTTGGTATCTGGTAGCAAGTAGGGTTTCCCTGATGGCTCAGATAGTAAAGAACCTGCCTGTAATGTGGGAGACCTGGATTCAATCTCTGGGTTGGGAATATCCCCTGGAGGAAGAAATGGAAACCCACGCCAGTATTCTTACCTGGAGAATCCCATGGGCAGAGGGAGCCTGGTGAACTACAGTCTATGGGATCGCAGAGTCAGACACGACTAAGTGACTAACACTTTGAATGAACTTGAGCTTTCCTCCAAGGCTCCAGGGCCCCTTTGCTGGCCTAATCTCCAGAGACTCTGTCTTTGCAGGGGAAGGAGGGTGAGCCACAGAGCAGTCTGAGTATCAGCTGAGGACGTGGTTCCTCTCCCAGAAAAGGCCCATCACCTTAGCAAACTGTCAAGTGGGCTTAACCAGCAGCCTCCTGCCAGCTTCCACGTGGGTACAGGTGGTAGTGTGGCTCCCAGCCTTCATCTGAAGTAGCAGAGCCTGTAATCCCAGAAAGGTCACCACACCTTCCATCTGACCTCAGGAACGCACTCCAGGGCCTAGATGGCTCGGAAGGCTGATAGGGCTGGGAGTACAGGCAAGTGTAGTTTCATCCTAGGCAGGGCTTGACTCTGCCAGGCATCTGGATCCCACTGCATGGACACAACCATCCTGCAGCGCCGCAGTTAGAGCTCAGATCCCACCCCCTGACCCAGCCCCCATCTTGTGGTGCAGCTGTCTATCAGTTCAGTCTCTGTGTTTACCTAATGCTCACCTCAGTAAAGAACTCTGCATCTCTTTGTGGTCTCCATGTGTTAAGGAAAAAGTTGATTTTAGTGCACAGTTCCCCTGGGTGTCACCTGAGCAGCCCTCATGGGTTTCCCGGAACCTCTTTCCCTTTTGCTCTCACCCACTCTGCAGTCTCTTCCCCTTTCTTCTCTTCCTCCATCTTCTTGCTCCTCTCTTTGGCTAGCTGTGAATTTCCCAACAGCTCCAAGCAGAGCAGACTCACAAGCCTTACCAACTCTCTAGGACTGTCCCTGACCATGTCACTGAGCAGTGATGATAAAGGCTTGGGCCCGGCTGGGCAAACTGGCTACGACTGTGTCCTGGGTGGGCTGTGTGTGCTGGTCGGTAGTTGCTGCCCATGGTGCTGCCAGCAGGCGGGGCTGTGTGGGCCCTATCACAGGGCCTCCACTTGTACCATCTGCATCCCCCTTTCCCCACCCTTGGAGAGGCAATAGCAAGGGACACCTGGCACTTAGATCATGGTTCTGCCTCTGAGTTTCCATGTGACTATAGGCTATTCATGTGAGGTATTTGCGCCTTGGCTTCTTTGTGGTCTTAGGAAAGTCTGGACCAGTGGTTTTCAAATATGTGAGCAGGAGACCCCTCTTGTCAAACAGAACCTTTACACAGGGACCCACTTGCAGGCCTTAAGGTGTAGAGGGGGAGTCTTCCAGGTAATACAGATGTGGGGAGGTAGCCAGGTGTACATGTGGGGACACAGGACTGTTATGGTGCAGAAATGTAAGTCCAGCATCGCCCCATCCTTTGATTTTTAAAGACCTAAAGCCAATCTTTCTGATTTTTATATGCTGACGATTCATTTGTTAAACTATTTATCTTGATACAATTGCAGATTGGCCTGTGGTTATAAGAAATAATACCGAGAGAGCCTATGTAGCCTTTACCCACAATGGTAGCATCTTGCGAAACTAGTACCCCACCATGGTGTTGACACCTGTACCATCCAGTGCAGAATACTTCCATCCTCAGATGCCCCCATCTTGTTTTTCCAGACCATTCTCAACCTCCCTATTGCACACACCCTGTCCTTAACCTGTGGCAACCACTAATCTGTTCTCTGTTTCTATAATTTTGTCATTTCAAGGATGTGATGTAAATGGAATCATACAGCTTGAGGCCTTATGGGATGGGCTTTTTCAGTCCTAGTTCTCTGGGAACTCATCCAAGTTGTGGAGTATACCAGTGGTTCATTCATATCTTTTTATTGCCGAGTAGTATTCTATGATCTGGATGTAGCAGTTAATTTTTTAAATGAATTTTCAACACTGTCCAGGTTGAACATACCGTGTTTGTGGCTAGATGAGGCCCCTGGGCCACCAACTTGCACCTCTATTCTGGAAGACGTTAGAGGTCCGTTGGTCTGGAGGTCTACGATTTTGGCCTTTCCCAGGCACAATCTCCCCTCCATATCTATATTTCTGGCTCTTCCTCACCTGCTTTGTCC